ATCAGTTTGCAGACCTTGAGACTGGGTGACCTCTAAGGCAGCTTTTCTTTCCTAGTCTTGCTGGAGACAACCAGTCATTTATGTGTGTGTGCATATATATGTATGTAAATATTCTACATACCCTTTTTTTGCATCCCCTTGGAACAGGCAAAGTGCCTGAACAAACTACGCCCAAATCTCAATGATTTAAGGCAGTAATGGTTTATTTCTTGCTCATGTCCCAAACCAGTGTGGCCTTTGGGGCAATAAGGGAGTAATAGTCTTCTCCAGTAACCATTAATGATCCCAATTTCCTTTAATCTAGTGGCTCTGCCCGTCCCTAGGGATTTGGGACCTCTGCCATATGCTCTTTATGATGAACTAACAAAGAAAAGATTAGAGCATGGAGGGTATCAGGGGTTTTTAGGGACCAGGCTTGAAAATAACTTATATTACCTTTGTCCATATTTATTTGGCTAGATCACTGTCATATGGCCCCATATGACTACAAGGAAATGAAGCCTAGGTGTCTGGCCAGTAAAAAAAAGGAAATGAGTATGGTGAGCCCATAGCAATTTTTGTTATATACACCAGACATGCTCTTTTGACTTGACAACAAATTGTAGAAAGCAGCCATTTCAGTGTATAAACAGTTTACTCAGCTTTTATAAAAGTTATATAGTATTCAATTTTATGGATAATTTATTTAACTAGTTCATGGTTTAATAATCATCCCCAACATTTTTTCCAATTCATTCATCTGCAATGAATGCTCCTGTCTTGGGATCATTCCATAGATGTATAGGTATATCTGCAGGATGAATTCTAGGATGAGATATTGTTGATTCAAATGGTATGGACATTTAACATTTGGATATCTATTGCCAAATTACCCTATTAAGAGGATATACAAATTTATACTCCCACTGACCATTTTATTGCTTAATCCTACTTGTGTAAAACATTTTTACTTTTCTCCATGGTTGAATGACTGTAGTTTAAATCTATCTCTACATGGTCAGAGAGAGAAACTGGTGGCAGAAAGGAAAAGTGGAAGTTGGAAGAAGGATTTTCTGTATACTTAGTGAGCAGGTGATTATCTTTATCCTGACTTCATATCTACAAATACAGAGATAGCCTTTGCTTAAAGGAGTGCATGCCAGCATTTTCCCCATCATGACACAGAAAATGATTGTACTGGATCAGTGGGGTAAACTGTAGGAAAATTAGGGTCCTGATGAGATCACTCAGGGCTGAAAGGATTAGACTTGGGCCTCTGACCATCCTTAGCCCAAGAATGAGGGGCTGGATATGTCATGGCACACCTTGAATCCATCAGCACACCACCTGCAATAAACGCCTTCTCTATCCCTCAGGAGCCCTGAATTATCAATTTCTATTTCCCAAGTGTAATTGGTGCCTTCTATCAAAAGCATAACTTAGACCAGAGGAAAGGAAATGCACACCCTTGAGGTGTCTCTAGGTATGTCCCAAAGCTGCCTGCCTAAGCGAGCCAGTTTTCATTGAAGTCTCCTATTTATAGGAAAAGTGCGTACAGATTTTTTTGAGATTTTTAATAAATCTTCATTTATTTTAATATTTAAAATGTTTCAAACCACTTGCTATTGAGTATAACTGAAACTCCAGGAAGCTATAAGTTTGCTCTGTGGCTTGGTGAACCCTGGCCCTCTGCCCCCAGGGCAGACAAAGGAGCACGTTCTACATGGTGATGCCCCATGGATAGGCTCTTATCCATCCTTTTTTAATATATATTTTTAATGTTTATTTATTTTGAGACAGAGTGCAAGCTGGGGAGGGGCAGAGAGAGAGGGAGATGCAGAATCTGAAACAGGCTCCAGGCTCTGAGCTGTCAGCACAGAGCCTGATGCCAGGCTCAACCCCAAGGACCTCGAGATCATGACCTGAGCTGAAGTCGGACACTAAACCGATTGAGCCACCCAAGTGCTCCCTTATCCATCCTTTAAAGCCCAGCTCATATGCTGCTTGAACACCAAGTCTCCCTGCAGGGTCAACCAGCCCAGAATGGTGTTTTGGTGTTTCTGTCCTAGAGAACTCTGAATTACACCTGGCCCCATGCCTTTTACTGTGCTTGCACATCATCTTTCCTTCCTTTGTCTATAGCCTTCATGGGTTCAGTATTTCTATCCTTTGTAGCAGAGAAGAGATGCGTTAAATTTTTACTGAAAATAAAAAACGTTGAAAATGATTGAACACATTATTGTGTTAACCGCTTCTACTTTACAAAGGAATTGGGAATTAACAAAATAATAAAATCTACTTCTGAGTCCCAACTCTTAAACACTCCTAAATCTTCTCCTATGTAATTATGTTAGCCTGGTGTTCCCTCAGAAACTACACATTTAGTTTGTTCATACATACACGCCCAATTCTTGGTGATATCCCTGTCACATTGATTAATACTGAGCATGCCATTCATTTCTTCTTCTATCTCTGGAAAATGAGGATAATTGCATTTCCCAGCTACCTCTCAGGAGATTGAAAGTAAAGAATTCAATCCCTTAGTTGTGCTAGCCTGAAGTTCAGTTGCTTAATAGCTCATGTGGCTAGTGGCTACCATATTGGACAGTACAATTATAGAATATTCCCATTATCACAGGAAGTTCTGTTGGATGAGGCTGGCCTTTATGTTTTATGTCTTAAATGACTAATGTTTTTAGCTGAAATATTTTTAGCTTTCTGTTTTTCCCATTCACTTGTCTTAGATTCCTACCCCCCCCCCACATATACAGACACTCTTTATTGAAAAATTTTAATTGCTTGGGCCTTAGAAACAGTCTCACCTCCAAGGCCATGATTTGAACACAAATCTGAGGAAAATGAAATGTGAAATTGCCATCTGGAGATTGGTGCAGCAGCAGATCCAGCCATTTCTGAGAAATTGTCTGGGTTTGGAGTTACTCCCAGATCTCTGATTTAGCAGTTCCTAAGCTTATAGCAAGTCTGAAAGGAACACAAATCTGTTTTGTATATACAAATAAATCCTCGTATGCTGCATGCCATTCTCAGCCTGCCAGTTTCATCTGGCTGCTCCAGAAAATATAATAGTACATTAGTTAACCTGCATGCAGGGAATGGGGCATTCTGATTATTGAAATGTTCTGGTTGAGTGATTAACCTGATTTTTGCAGAAAAACTGCTGAGGCAAGGGATTTGCTGTCCAGAATGTTTGTGCCACTGTATTTTTTTTCTTCCAGATGATCATAGCTGCATTGCTTCATTTCTCCAGCACTCAGAAATACATCTCTTTGTTAAAAACTTTCAAATAATACTTTCAAAGAGCCCTCATAAAAATAGATCAATAATGGTGTATCAGATAATCTTCAAAAAAATAGAAAACATAGAAAGAATCATAATTTCTTTGCCCAGATTTTACATAGTTTTAACCTTGAAGAGTTCCTAACAACAGGGCAGTTTATTCAGTAGAATAACCTGAAAATATTTATTCACATATTTTATTTTCTCTAGTGATAAGTACTTAAAAGTACTTACTAGATGTTAGGTAATGCTGCAAGAGCTTTACAAATATTACTTGATTTAATTTTTATAACCACCTTAGAATTAAGCATCACCTTATTATCTTCATTGTATTTTCTTTTTTTTAAATTACAAATGTTTATTTATTTTGAGAGTGATCAAGCATGAGAAGGGCAAAGGGAGAGGGAGACAGAGAATCCCAAATAAGCTCTAAACTCAGAGCAGAGCCTAATGTACGGCTCCCTCCATGACCGTGAAATTATGACCTGAGCCGAAACCAACAGTTGGATGCTTAACTGACTGAGCCACCCAGGCTTCCTATTATCTTCATTCTAAAGATGAAGAAACTGAGGCACAGAAAGCTATGGATGTCCTATAGTTGATCTACCTGAATGTTCATTGATAGAAGAGGTTGTAGCATCAATGGATGAATAAGTTTCTGAGAATGGACCTGGCTTAATCCCACCTATCCCTTCCCAAATATTAGATGAGTAGAATTGAGGGGCTATTACAGAAAGGGAGAAGGAGGATCCAAAGTGCTAAAAGAACACAGAAGAAACTAGGGAAATCAAAGTGGACTTCAGAGAAGAGTAGCCTCTGAGATCCAGCTTTAGAGATGAGTTAGAATTAAGGCCAAAAAGGAGAGGAGAAATTAGATATTATAGTTGTGAAACCTATATGTGAAAGATTTGATGAATATTATAATGGTAAAAAGGCCTTAGTGGCAAATAATGAACAACCTTGTGTATTTGAGGAATGGGGTAGAGAAAGAAGAAAATGAGTGTAAGTAAGATTTTAAAGATGAAAAGAGTTTCATGTTCAGATTCCCCAACAAATAGTAGATATTAGATTCAAGAGTCTTTACATTTTATTTCATTGTATTTCACACCAAATAAGTTTTTTTTTTTCCTGGCCACTTTTATGTTAACATTTAAGTAAAAGCCAACAAACAAATACTAGAAAAATACATCTTCACTTTCAAATGTATTTTTCCACAAAGTCTGGAAAATATTTTAAACTCTGGAATGGGGTAAAGTAGGGAAAACAAAGACCAAATTTAAAAAATTATTTCGGAATAGTTTAAATAAATTCTTGTCAGAAGCAAAAATGTTTGAGCATTACCAGAAAATTTCTTTAACCAGAAAAAAAAAGAAAGAATATATATTAAAAAAACATTTAAACTGTGAAGACTGGATAACTAATCAAAATCAATGAAAAGAGTTTTCTAACCCTTTATAGAAGGGTTTTATTGAATTATTGTCATTATTGTCACTAGCTATAGAATGGAGTATAGTAGGTTGTACGTTGAAAATGTTACTTCATAGTTATATATTGCATTTATGAATTTGTAAGTTTGCATTTTCCAATTTTCATCTGTGCTAATTTAATAGCCTGTAATATACCGCATACAACCTTAGCAAAGGTGACTATAATTATATTTTTAAAGCACATTTTTAGTGCCCAAAGGAGCATCTTCGTAACTATACTTTTATCTTCTCTGGCAGATGACATTTGATCCAGAAATCTTCTTCAATGTTTTACTACCACCAATTATATTTCATGCAGGATATAGCCTGAAGAAGGTAAATATACAGTGGTCATTTTCTTCTTCTGTCATTAAGTAGAGAATTTTACCAGTGCTAATGAAAAAACAATTATTTTATGGGTTTAATTATTTTTGTAAGGATGTCATTATCTTAGATACATGTGATACAAATTCAAATCTGACATGCTTATAATTCTTCCAAATCTGCTTTATCCAATACACTGGCCATTGGGTACATGCACCTATTAAGGGTTGAAATGTGGCCTTTTTGAATGAATATACACTTTAAGTATAAAATATACATTGGATTTCACAAACTTAAAACAAGAATGTAAAATATCTTCATTGTGTTTGGTATTGATTTCATGTAGAAATGATGTTTTGGATATATTGGGTTAAATAAGACATATTATCAAAATTCATTTTTCTTTTTTAAAAATTCTTTTAATGTGCCTACTAGGAAAATTTTAAACGACATGCATGGCTTACATTATATTTCTATTGGACAATATCATTCTAGATGCTTGTAACCAAAGAGTTAGCTGTTAATTGGGATAGATGTTGGGCTTATCAATCAGGGTAAAAACTCAAGGTGCCTTGCTAATACTCAGCTGTTGATGCTCTTAGGGAGGAAATCAGTTTTGTAGCTTCTGTCCTTTCACCTGACATTATTTAAGTATCCCACATTTCACAGGTTAGTAATTCCCTTGATAGTTTCAGTGCTAGCAGCTCCTGTGCCGCAGATTGAGGCTCTGGCCTATATGAGTTTCAAGATGCAGAGATGGAGCAGCTCCTTCTCTGCTGCCCACTCCCCACCCCAGGGACTCCAGGGGCTGTCCTCCCTTTGGCCTGTCAGCTACTGCAGGTAGACGGCTCATTCAGTCCACACCCAATTTTCTTGTGTACTCCAGGCTCCCTCTTGCTGTCACTTCTAACTACTCAGCTCCCAACCACACAACAGGAAGGGAGATTTCCCATGCCGGCTTTGAAGAGACTTACTCAGGCCATCCTTCCTTATCTCCACTCCTACTACTAGGTGCCATTTCTGTGACTCATTAAAAAAAATTTGTTGTAGGTGATTAAGATTTTGTTTCATTACATTCAGAAGAAATAGAAGTCAGAGATCCAATAAGTCAAAAGGAAAGTAAAATATTTTAGGATAGTATTTTTAATATACTAAAGGGGTTGCATTGACAAAAACATATCTTAAAAACTTTGTCTTTCGTTAATCATGCCAGAGTTCTGCATGGACATTAACTCAATCCTTTACTCTCTCAGGTCCACCCATTCTGGCAGTTGTTTCTCTCATCTCTACCCTGTCATTTTTCTAGATGCATCTTTCCTCTTTTCTTTGAGAAACCTCTGTCCTTTACAGTGTAACTCATTTCAACCTTAATTATACAATAAGGCCAGGAATTAAGGTTCCAAAACCAAAATTTGCCTAAACTGTGAGGGAAGGGAGGGGCTGTAAAAATGCATATATTTGTTTTTATTTACTGTTACACTAAGAAAAAAATATGGACATACTATATGAAATCTATTCTTTTCTCCCCAGAGACACTTTTTTCAAAACTTGGGATCTATTTTAACATATGCCTTCTTGGGAACTGCCATCTCCTGTATCGTCATAGGGTAAGTGACGTTCGGAGCTCAAGTTGCAGGTGGCTGTGGGTCCAGTGATCTGTGGGAGGAATCTCAGACTTCTGGACTCACACTGACAGGGTAAATTGTCTACCTTTTTATGTATATCATATCTTTACACATTTTCTGACTCCATTCCAAAGCTTATATATTTTCTGACAAACACAAGGCTACAAATCAAAGTAACCTGTGATCAGATTGCTGAATTTTCTCTGTGAGTTTTGAACCTCTGATTTAGGGAATGTAGAGAACTTGGCCTGAGTTAAGTGAAGCACATTGCATTCAATAATGCAGGTAAGCACACTGCATTCTTATTTCATCTTCTTTGTGGGACTCGACCTGTGTTTGACAGGAGTACAATTGTAGCTATATGGCAAGGCTTTGCTTTTCAAGGGAAAGTTTATAAGAGAGCAGTCTGAGACAGACATCTCCAAATATCAGCAGAACTGTTTAATGCTGAGATGGCATTTCATTTGATATGCTCTAGAATGCTGCCTTGTTTTTTTTTTTTCTCACTATATTTTATTGGTTATGTTACTAAGCCCCCAAGTCTAACCATATAGACTCTGGTTTACAGCTCATTATAAAGCAAAATAGGATACAAAATGGTGACGCCAATCCAATTCACTTACTATCCTATTCAATCTCCACTGGAGTAAACATATTCAGCTGCTATGACTATGATGATGTTGATGTCTTAAATTGTCTGATACAGCCACCTCTACGCTTGAACTTTACTGCATACAGCTGTTATAACCCTAATGCAAGAAACTGAAGCTAAAACACACACACTAATTACTTATCCAGCTCTTTGCTTGTGAAGTATTTAGTGTGTGTCACTAGAAGACTAAGGAGGTATCATTACTTAGACCTGAAAGCAGGGGGCATGGGTTATGTTGAGTTCTCTGTTAAATTTTTATTGACTGAAGCCTAGAATGACTCAGGCTACATTCTGTGAAAATGTCCAGCACAGTTAGGAAGATGAAGAAGCTAAAGATTTCAGCACCTAAAGGTAGAAGTTTACAGGAATATAAATTGAGGAGCCTCATTAAGTCTGGACACCTAAGAGATCTTTAAACTGTGATTAAGAGGCAAATATAGATTTTATCCTTCTCAAAGCATGTTTAGAGGAGAGTTGCTCTATTCTGTGGTTATGCCATAATAGCTAACATTCAAATTTCAAACCTGGCAAGAGCCTTAGAGATTTGTGTAATTAAAGCCCCTTATTCTGAAGATGAATAAAGTAACGTCTTAAAAGTTTAATCAATTGTCTTATGAATTAGGGCTATGGTAAAGACAGAACTCAGACTTTGGCTTCTGACTCAGCAGGTCTTACTACTATCCCCTCTTTCTTTAGCAATTTCTCTTGGAATTACTATACATTCCTCTACATTGTTCATATATACTGCCAGAAGGCTCTGAGATGTGTGGACTTGTAACAGTGTTCATCACTTTCTAGCAAAGATTGATGGTTAGCAGTTCTATAATATGAGGATCTGAAATGTATAATGTATCTAAATCTGAACTTATGGAAAATGTTGTTAAATTACAGAGTAGTCAGTTTTCATTATTACCCCATTTTCTTTGTCTAACTAACTTTAAGTGTATGTAATATGCTTTCACCATCATGAGAAATCTATAATCTCTTTTTCAAAAAGAGCAACAATATATAGTGTGTGTGTGTGTGTGTGTGTGTAATTGACTTTTCTAAAAAAAATTCAGTTCAGGAAATCTGGTAAAATTCATTTATTGGAGTTGATAACCTCTTCTGATTTTAAGGCTGTAATCAATAATTTGTGATGGAAAGTGATTTGAATAAAAAAATACAGCCTGGGAAAACTTTTAGAACCATGTGCTTTTGTTTGAACTAGGCATAATCTAAACAACATTTAGGGTTCTTTCTTAATGTGGGTCATTAAAGTACAGAAGGAATAGGTGGTTTAAAGACTTTAAGGTCTTATCCAGAAAGGGAAAGGAAACCATTAGAGAGCTTTAGCTTGAGAGTGACAAGGTCAGATTACATTTCAGGAAAGTCATTCTGGTGGTGGTATGAAGGAGAAATTTTAAAGTGAGGAAAAGATGACAGCCAGGGGATCATTTAAGAGACAATTTCCATAAGCTAAGTTGGAAGTGATGAAGTCCTAGCCTCAGACAGTGGCAGTAAAAATGGATGTGGAGTCATCAATATGTTGAAATCCTGAAAGATAACGGGGTAATCCAAGGCAAGTGTATGGGGTGAGAAGGGAAGTTACCTGGGAAACATTATCTGAAGAAAGGGAAAAGATAACCACAAAGGACTAAGAAGTATTGGCCCCAAGATACGGGAAGAAAATAAGCAGGACATGGGTCTAGAAGTCAAAGGAATGGGGAAAGGTAGGGTAGATAGTGTCTAATATAAGGAAGTCAGATAGGATAGGAATTGGAGTTTCAAATGGATTCAACCCCTACAAGGTGATAGGTGACTTCACACTTATCCTACAGGCAGAAATAAAGAGAGTATTGGAAAGTTCAATTGTTTTGAGTGCTGTATGATGAAAAACAATTTATTTTTATGCTGTTGATCACCAGATACAATTTCAGAACTTCTGAAGGAAAGACACAAACTTGAATTCAGACTTAACAGGCACTTATATAATTTAGTGAGTCTTATTGTGTGAGTGGTTCAATTGTACACTCAAACCTTAGAAAATTACTGGTTATACTTTCCTGATAAATTAACAGTAATATGAGCAGCATAACAAACATTCATCAAGTACTTGATATGTAGTATGACCTTTTTAAAAATACTTTACATGGCTTGTTTAATTTAATCTTTAAAATAATCTTATTAAATAGATACTATTATTTCCCTCATTTAACAGTTGAGATATTTGAGGTTTAGAGAGCACACAGTGTAAGTAATAGAGTTGGCATTAGTAATGAAATAGTTCGGTTCCAGAGTAAAATTCTTAATGCCAAATATGTGCTTTCCTTCTATTTATTATCATTACTCAAAAATAAAATGTAAAACATTAAACTAAAAAATAAAATTGAATAAACCAGTCAATATTCACTAACAGGCCACATGTTTCTTCATTAGCCCTGCAGGAGTTTTCACAGATATGAAAGATTTTTAATTGTGAATCCCATTCAAGAGGAATTCACATTTTTAAGAGGAAGGAGGAATGCTTAGGTTTATGCACATACTTGCATGAAATGGGCAGAAAGAGAGATTTAGGACAGTCTTAGATTGGACTCTGAGAATAATTTCATAGAAGAGGTAGATTCTGGAGAGTCATTTAATGGTGAGGGATGAGGTAGTTGAATTTTCCATGCCATCAAGTACATTAGTCCTGGTGGGTATGGGAAGCATTACGTAAGACTCAGAGTTGGAGAGCAGGCTTCATAGAGCTGTGTAAGAGAGGGTAGGAACTGAAATGCTAGAGAGTCAACTTCCACAGGACAATGAAGCCTGGGATCAGAAATTTATGAGAATGTAAATGCTATGAAGAGTGATTATAGGGCATGAATGAAAACTGAGCTTAGTAAACCATGGTTTTCTGTAGATAATGACTTGATCTAATCAAACTACAGGTTGGTTTTAGATCTGGACTCAGATGCTTTATAGGAATTGGTATCATTGGGTCCATTTGAATGAGAAGAATTCTTAATTAAGTTTTATTAATTCATGTCATTTCAGAAATTAGATGTAAACCATCTTTTATATTTCATGAGAAAGTTTAATAAATCTCTTTTGCAATAAAATCAGAGAAAATTAAAAAATTAATTTTAATTTTTTTAATGTTAAATCATTCAGTCACCTTTTATAGTCTTCGCCCCATCTTATCATATAAGTAAAATCTTAAGTACACCTCTGTTTTTAAATAAAACTCATATATTTTATTTACATATTGTCTCCTTCATCTTTGGAGACTATTCCTTTATCTTTGGCCCTATGTATCTACCCTTACGTATGATACAGATGTATCATCACAATGACAACCTACCTAATGCTACTGTCAGCACATACATTTTGTTCTTAGAACTGTTTAGTTCTAAGAGTTCTATGAAATGCTTTAAGAATAATAAAAATGATACTTTTAGTCTTTCTGTTAGTGTGGAATTAAATTCCGTAATTTCAAAAATATTGGGAGAAAAGGACATGGATCCAAATGATGGAGAATGGGGTGTTAATTTTAAAAATAGCTTACTTTTTAAATCTCATCCCATGTGCCTTTGCTTTTTATAGACCTTGTCTTATTTTATGCTCATAGTGCTCCTGTGAGATAGGTACTATTGTTATCCTTATTTTACATAGAAGGATGCTGAAGTTGAGATTTGCACAAGACTGCACAGTAAGTAAATGGTAGTAAATGGTATAGCCAATCTGACTTCAGAACACTCTTACAATCTCCTTATCCTGCTCCTTTTCCTAATATAATACTTTACATTTCTGTAGTGTTTTGCAATTAATAATTGTGTCTGTCAGACAAACCAGGCCCTCAATAATGTCAGATTCTTATATTTATCACAATGGCTAACAATTATTAAAAATCTGAATATTTAAGAATAAGCTATAAATTTAGTTGCCAAATAGAAACAATACCTGTATTTTCCACATGGAGGTAGTTGGAGGGATGATACTATTCATTTTACTTGGTTAGAGTTGCTGGGCTCTGGGTAACTTGCTCTGGAAAACCTGAATTCATAAATGTGAGAATGTTTATGTTATTCATATCCTCTGCAGTATTGGTTTTCCTGTTGGGTTCCTTATATGCACACCACAGAAGCTATGCCTGACACTTTCTCCATCTGCCCATCAAGCATATGAGTGAAGTGGCCTCATGGAAGGCCTTGCTCCACCTTCTGGTGTCATCATGCCTGCTGACCTGAGCACTTTTAGGCCTAAGTACCCTTGGCACTGGTTCTGGAATTGCTGCTGCTCAGTTATTTTTCTTTCTTTCTTTTCTTTTTTTTTTTTTTCTTCATTTATTTATTTTGAGAAAGGGGGT